AGATGACATCTACCTTTGGGGGCTCAATGAAGAGGTTAGACATCTGTGAGAACAGAAACAAACCCCTGGAGTGGCCAATGGGATGATATGATCAATAATTACGATGGGCATCCAGGGAGAGGAGGGTGGTGGTGCTGGCTGAGAGAGGGAAGCCCTGACCAGTTCATCTCTCAGGACATGTGGAGACCAGGATCAGAAAGCCCCATTTTACAGACATAAAAGTTGAGATAAAGCCTCCCCGGTCCTTGAGGAATCCTTTTGAATTAGCACCCGGAGCCAAATTCAATGTATTTGGTCTTTCCCGAGTGCGCTGGGATGGCATAAACCTGGGAATTGGGGTGGGAAAGTAAAAAGTAGGAAACTCTGTGGGCTAGCAGCCATTTGCTCCCTTCTCCCTCCAATTTGCCATTTGTCATTTAAAGGGAAGGTTGGGAGAGGAGGAGATAGCAGGTGGAGGAGGAGAGCACCCCAAACCCTCCTTCCTCCTGGTTCACTTCTGAATTGAACCTGAGCTCCTGCCCTCTATGAGCCAGGGACACTGGTTTCTGGTGAACAGGCCACTGCAGAGGGTCAGATGAAAAGGTTGGGCTTTGTGTGGGCACAATAACAAGAAAGTTCCAGTGTCTTGTCCAAGGGTACACGTCAAACCAGAAACAGAAGTCAGATCTTCGGCCTGCCAGTCTGGGCTGCCTCTCTAATAGTCCGTGTGAGTCCCAGACTCATCCAGCACAGGAGGCAACCATGGGCTCAGCCTCTCATCAAAACCCTCAGTAATGGGGTTGAGGGAAACAGAAGTTTTTTTTTTCATGAGCTCATTCCAGTCAGAATGTGTCCAGATGCCCAAATATTTGATTTGAGCCTGGTTGCTAAGAGACCTCCCACTGGGACCCAGCTGCCTGCGGGCAGGAGGGCGGTATTGGCATCACTTCAGATTTCTGCCAATTTATTTTGAAACCAGAAAACCTGGAACCTTAGCCTCCTCAAGGCAGCCATGGGGAGAGGAGAGATCTGAGTCAGCCAAACACCAGAGGGAAACACCCCACTGACCTTCTGGCAGGGACCTATAGGAGGATTTAGGATAGAATTCCTACACAGCGATTGCTAACTTGGTGTGAAATATGCTGGTATTGTAATGAAGAATAAATCGAAGCTCTGTGCCTGGTCATGCAGGGGGCATCTTGGAGCAACCTCAGGGACAGTGCTGGATTTCTGACTTATAACTGGGCATAACTGGGCCTGCCTCAATTAAAAATAAGAGCCACACACCCAGAGTTTTGGGTTTTCATTGCTGGTGACTTAAACTCCCTAAGGGAATGCCAGAAGCAAACATGTCCTTGATAAGGCTGTGAGGGGTCAGGGCACAGGGTGATAGTTGGGGAAACCCCAATTCCTCAGCAGAAGGCAGACAGCTGAACATAATAGGCTCACCATCCCTACTGATCCCCCTGAATAGCTGTCACTGCTTCCCCACACAACAGCAGAACAGGACCCCCAGGCAGGGCCCTGGCCCCGGTGCCATTCTCAGAACCAGAGAGTGATCTAAACAGGCCTCGACTTTTTCCAGGGTATTTTGTTTCTGAATTTGGCTTTAGTACTTATTTATAAACTAGGAGCCCAGTGCACGAATTCCTGCACATTGAAAGGAACTGTGGGCTGCGAGGCTGCCGTGGGCACAGGGGCGGGTCTTAGCTCATCCTTCGTGCCCCCGTCCGGCCCCTCCTGCTGTGTCCCCAGTCCCCTGTCTGCTGGCAGCCCCGCACCCACCACTGTGGCTCCCATGTGCTGATGGAGCTGGCCCAGCTTGCACCCATTGGGGCCAGCATCAGCAGCAGGTGCGAGTAGGGCCAGTGCTGTCAGAGGGTGCGAGCAGGGCTGGCGCTGTCAGTGGGTGCGAGTGGCAGCTGCTGCCCTGATCGCCCCTTAGGAGCAGGGGAAGGTGGAGAAGTTCTGAGGGGCGATCCGGGCCTGTGGCTGCTGCTTGTACCCGCTGATGGTGCCGAGCTATTAGGGCCTGGGTGCCGGCAGCAGGTGTGAGCACCAGGTGCGACCCCAGTACATGGGAGCAAAGAATTTTCAGTAACCACCAGAGGCTTACCCCGATGACAGCGACCAGTGCCCTGCCTTGGTCTGGCGCCCCTGCTCACCTGCTCCACCATCCCACTGCGGCTGATGCCCACCATGTTCCGCATGTGCCCCCTGGTGGTCATCGCACGTCAGAGCAACCAGTTGTTTGGTTGTTTGGTTGTTCCGCCATTCGGTCTATTTGCATATTAAGGTTTTATATATATATAGATGTTTTTATGTGAGAAACAGATTTTGCTCTCAGGATTTTTAGATGAGATTGTAATTTGGTGTGTAAAAGTCATGGATGGTTACTCTGGGCCTTCACCCAAAGCCCTCCTTTTTCTGTTATTATCGACTTGGAGGTAGTGCAGTCAGGTAGGTTTTGCTTTTGGCTAGAGCTGTACTGTGGGCTCCATTCTCCTCTGTGCAGACTTGTGCCCTTGGCAAGTTCTGATGTCTCAGTGTCCTCACCCATCAAAAGTCATCTAGAAAGAAGTGTTTGTCAGGTTTGAGAAGAGCGGGCAGTAGTAGCTGGGTGCTTGGGAAAATCAACTCGGAGGAGGAAGGAGCTTGAAATTAAGTCTGGAAACAGCAAAGGGATGAGATTGGGGCTGAGCCCAGTGTTAAGTACATGATAACCAATTTCTAGTCATTCTTGATTTGCTTGACTAAAAAGAAAGATGAGAAAGGAGGTATATGCCCAGTTTCATAAAGAGAGGACTTGAGTGAATACTTTGAATGTAATGCAGAAAATAAGGGGGAGTCACAAATGCATCACATGGGTTTTGTGGTTCTAGAAGGCATCCAATCAGCAGGCAATACAAGTTCCATCTTGCAGACCAGGGAAAAGATATCCTTCAGAATTGAAATATACCTAAATCCAGAGAGAAGAGCCTTTAGTGAAGCAAGTTTTTGCCGTTAAGTCTGTGCGCTGAAGAAATTTGCAAGAGATATTTAAATTTGTACCCCCTTCTACCTCACTGGTTAAATATACCACATCATCCGAATGATTTGTTTCCGTAAAAGAAGCTATGACATCACAAGGGCTGCGTTATGGTGCCATCATAGGAACCCTTAGGCACCTGTCCAAGAGAGACAGCCTCTCACTTTGAATACAAATATCCCCGCCAGCGAAGAACAGTGGCAGGCAGGAGGAGAGGGCACTCCAAGAAGATAAATGCGCAGACGGAGGGCCAAATCCTACGTGGAGATGCTGAGTGTTCCATGAGGTATTCAGCCAAAAGCTGTCTCTCAGTGTTTCAATAGTGATAAATGACAAAGCCTGGGGTAAAAATAAACCTAATTCCAATGTGGTTTCTGGCTGGTTCAGTGGGAAACAGTGTTGTTAACCTTGAGGGGAACGCGGAGCTGTCTGAGATTTGGAAGCTGGGCCTCTCCAGGCAGGAGAATGACTGGGGAGGCAGAAGAGCTCCAGAGTCACGCAGACCCCAGTGCCTCACTCCGCCCTTTGCTGTCCTGTGTAAATGTAATTAGGAGAAAGGCTCTTTTTGAGGCCGGTAGTGAAACATCTTTCCTAATGTGTCAGCCTAAGGCCTGTGGTTGCATCAGGTGGAGCACATACCTTGTGTCATGGTGTAGTCAATACCCCCAAATCCCACACAGTTCTGTCCATCTGGGGTACAGATTCCACAGACGCCACAATCTGTGAACCCTAGAAAGAGCAGTTGGGCCAGGAACGCTGAGAAGCACTGAACTGAATTTTTTGCCCGGTAACTTGAGTGGATGCTTTGCCCACAGGTTTCCTCTGTTTTTAGAAACACTTGGTGAAACAGAAGGACCACGGTGGCTTCCAGGGGCACTTTGTCAACTTGAAGAGCATATCCTTAAAAAAAAAATTAAGCAGCAAGCCACTTGCTTTCGTAAAAATATTGGTCTCCACTTGTATGCATATGACTTAAATGTCCCAGACCGCAGACATGTACTTAACACAAAATATTGGTCTCCACTTGTATGCATATGACTTAAATATAAAAACTGTATGTTTCTGGTGACAGATTTTTAGTGTTGGTTTGGAAGAGCCCATGCTCACAGCATGAAGGGGTCATGCATGAGCAGGATCTGGCTCATTGGTAGGTTTTCCTTCAGCTACGAAACCCCTGCCGGAAAGAAGAATCTGTAACAGTCCAAGATTACTATCAAATGCATCAATTTGGAGGAAGTCTTGTGGGTGGGTGTGTTTTGGGTAGGGTATTTTTTCTTTTTAAATCCTTCATCTTATAATCTAAGCAAAAACCCCCAAAGAGCCAGATGTAACAGCTATTATAAAAAAGAGGCATACTATTAATACCCCATGTTTATTGAGGGCTTTTCTCCTAAGTCCATGGTGCTTTGCGCATGTTATCTCATCTATCCCCATATGTTGTCCTCATTTGAGAGAAAGGCCTGGAAAATGCCTGAAGTCAGGGAGTGTGGGAGACAGCAGATGAGACCTGGATTCTTTTTTTTTGAACAGCACCTTGCTCCGGTTCCAGCACCAATATTGGAACACTGAGAGATGCTTTTCACCCAAGTTGTATTTTAAAAATCCCCTCTATCACACCCACTTTCGCTGTAGCCCTAAAGCAAAAGCCTGAACATGGAAACAGCTCACACCAGACCCACTGACAAACCCAATTACTTGTTGGCTTGTTTCCTGTGCCAGGCTGTTTGCAAAGTCACTTTTGCATGGTGTATCCACCTGCTCACCAATAACGTGATTCCAGGGCCTCAGCTCCATTGGACTAGAGTTAGCACTCAGGGAACTGCCCCTGACTGTCTCTGAGACTGACGCCTGCAGAGATGCCCGAGTAGTAAGAGAGCATTTCAGAAAGCTGGTTAATTAGTTTGTCTTTGGCACATCCTTCAGACTTCACCCCAGACTTAAAGATTCCTTAATGAGTAGAAGTTGAAATCTATTGCTAACTTCAAAAGTAGGAATGTTGGAAGTGATACTGCAATTTTCTCTGGAGCTTCTTGTCCGGATTCCTTCAAGGTATACAGTGTTCTGTTGTGGTAAGGCTGTGCCCCACCAGGATTCGAGAGGAGCCCATACAATTTCTGTAGGTGACAGAGCCATTTTGGAAATTCCAGGGTGGGAGGGAAGTGTGGCATGATTTAACCCTGCTTGTCACACTTGTTGAAGCACTTAAACATTTTATTCTTGGGCTCAAAGGAAGGACAGTCAAGGATCTGAAAACAGATCCTTCAAGTTTCCTCCAGGCCATCTGTCTTCCCCTCTCTGCTTACTGAGCTCTACCTGCCCCATCCTCCACTCTCCATAACACCACTTCTGAACATGTCTCCTTCTGTGGTACCTCTGTGGTGGTCATCAGTGCTCTTTGCAAAATAGATTTGGCTTTCCCCCTTCGGGACACATCATATTGCACTTCCTGGCCCCCTATGGTTGGGTGAGGCTGTCACCAGCTCTGGACAATAACTTGTGAGTGGAAGTAATGTGTGCCCCTTCCAGGGCAGAGCAATTAACTGCTGGTGCAAGACCTGCTGGATTTCCCTCCCCGAAGTGACCAGCAAAGTTCAAGATGGTGGCTGTTCTGAAGCAAACCACTGAGATTGGGGTCCCTCACCCTACTATTCTGATGGATACACCTTTCCTTAATTGTTGTCCCTTCACTCATGCGTTTCCTTGAACCACGCCCAGCAAGACTAGTGGTGAACCTGAGGAGGGGCGGTGAAGGATTAAAGAAAACAGACAAGAGAATACAGTTGGGACCAGGTGGGATCACTGTGCCTGGATGAGGACACAGTGACACAGCCTGTAAGCTGAGTCTTTATTTTATAGTCAGATCATACAAAGCAAAACAAGGGCAAGATGTTTACAATGTTCATGCGAATTTCAAATCTGCTTCTTTCCTGTTGTTGCCATTCTCTGAACTCTATCAAGCCTTGTTTAGGCAGCACTTGCTGCACCCCCTGCAGCCCACATCCCTTACCTACCTAGGACTACAGGTTATAAGGTCCTTACAACCATAGCCTTTTGGCTATAATTGTGCTGGGAGGGCTTTGCCCTCCAAGCTGGGACTTGTATGTGGCTTTGCCACAAGTCAGTCCGAGGCTTGAACCTGTCCAAACACTGTAGCCACTCTCCACATTTCCTTCTGCTTGAAATTTGTACCCTCCCTTCTCTGCTTGGCAAATTCTTACAGATCCTTCCAGACGTAGTTCAAAAGTTCTCTTTTCTGTGAAGCCTCTTAGGACACCTCCAGGAAGTTGGACCCCCTCTAGTCTGTACTTCCCGATCACCCTCTGTGCAAAACTCCACTCTAGCCTTCATCACACTTTATTCTCACTGTTTACATGCCTGTCTTCATCTCTTAGACACTGAACATCTTGAGAGCAGGTACTGTGCTTCACTCATTTTTCTCTCCAAAGTGTCCATTTCAAACAGAGAAACTCAGGCACTTGGATGGGTGATGGACATAATGAAGGTCAGCCCACTCGTGTTACAGCTCATTGTCCCACTGTCCCCGCATATACCAGAACTAGTAATTTACCAAATATTGGAAGACATTTCTTAAAATTGATTTCTCTTCTTGCTTTAACACTATTTAAGTAGCTGTTACAGTTAAAAAAAAGGTGTTTTTTTTTGTTTGTTTGTTTTTTTTTAAGATAAGGGGATTAGGAGACAATCACTCTTCATGGGCAATTTTTTGAGGTCATTGTGGCTGGTTGCTTAGGCCTGGCTCTGTTTATATGAAACAGCATATTTATTGACTCAATGCCCTCAATTTTTGTGAATGTGTTTATGTACATCATCAAATGTACCTCCCTCAGTTGTTCGGAATGTACCATTAAGTTAAAGTATATTGAGATTCTATTTCAATATCTGTTATAGATCCTGTTCTGGGTAAAAAATCAGGGGTGGTCCCATTTTTATTTAGGCCTAGTTCCCCATATAAGAGGCAGCATATTTACTGTTTTTAGTGTCCTTACTTCTATGAATGCACCTGTGTATATTGCCAAGTGTACTTTGAGTTAAGAATAGACTCTTAATTCTAACATGAACTGACAAAATTGTGTTTCACTGTCAGTTATAGAAGAAGCAAAATCTGGGTCTGAGAATGTCAAGAAAGGCCCTGCAACTTGTTTCAGGTCTAAGGTAGAAAGGTAAAGGCATTAGCCCACTAGGTAACTATCCGATGGGAGATGTTCTCTTGAGGTTTGAAAAAAATTAAACTAAAAGAGCCCAACTCTCACCTCCAAAAAAGTACATTTGTGGATTTAGCAGTCATTTGATCCTCCTGTTTTGGCTTTTAAAAACTCAGTTCTCCTCTTTTTCTTTATTGACTTAGGGTGATGGGCACACAGTGCAATATACAGATCATGTAGCATAGAACTCTACACGTGAAACCTATACAATCGCATTAACCAGTGTTATTCCAATAAATTCAATAAAATAAAATAACTAAAAAGGAGATTATTTTAACATTGTGATGGACATCTATTGTGTTTGCCTGCTCAAAACCCACTCCTTCTCCTCCTCGTAATAGCTTCTCAGGGTTTATCTGATGACTCGGAGTAACACTCTGCCAGAGGATTATAGTGCACTAGTTAGGAGCAGGGCTCTGGAGCCAGGCCGCTTGGCTTTACTCACTCATGCTGTGTGACCAGGGGTATGTGACTTAATCTTTCTAAATCTTGGTCTCCTTTTCCTTAAAATGGAAATAATGATATTATCTATTTCATAGAATTGATGTGAGGATTAATAAAAAAAAGCACTTAGAACAAGGCCTAATAAGTGTTAGCTATTATTATAAAAATTTTCATGACAACTTGACTTCCTTAGGGATGTTATAAACATATCTTCTCTCATTGACTGTGGCTATAGAAGTCTCTAACAGGTTGATCTATTATTTGACTCAATACATGACTTTTTTTTTCTTTCTGAGAAAACAAAAGGATTATTTCTTAGAAGATGAGTAGTTTTACTAGGGCATGTCTTGATAATGATCACCCCTATATTTTCTGGTACTTATGTGCCTCTTCAATCTGTAGATTAAAGTCTTTCTTCATTTCTGGAAAGATGTTATTTCTTGAATAATGTCTTTCAATATTTTTTGTTCCATTACTTCAGTCTCTTCAGAAGGGATAACATTTCTGAATATATTGAATTTCTTTTGTGTTTCATATAATTTTACAGCAGATATTTGTTTCCATTTTATTTTCCCACTACAGTTGTCCCTTGGTATTTGTGGAGGATTGGTTCTAGGAGCCCCCATGGATACCAAAATCTGCAGATGCTCAAGTCCCTTATATAAAACTAGAGGCCCAGTGCACAAATTCGTGCATGGGTGGGGTCCGGTGGCCAGGCCCCAATTGGGGCAGACCAGGGCTGGGCCTGTCGGGAGGAGGAGATGGTGGGAGGTTGGCTGGCAGGCTCGCCCCTGATTGGGCCTAATCAGGGCCAGGCAGGCTGGGGGGAGGGGCTGTGGGTGATTGGCTGGTAGACCCCACCCCCGATTGGGGTGGGGGAGCCAACTGGGGGTGGGGCTGGCTATGGGGAGGGGCTGTGGGCCAGTTGGCCCCACCCCCAAAGGGGGTGGTGGGGCCCATAGGGGGCAGGGCTAGCCAAGGGGAGGGGCCGTAGGTGGTTGGCCACAGGCCCTGCCCCTGATCAAGGTGGGGAGGCCAATCTGGGGTGGGGCTGGGTGGAGGGAGGGGCTGCAGGAGATGGCCGG